CCCACACTTAAAGCAAAAGGTAGGTAGCTTCTCATACTCGATGTTTTGATAGAACTTGCTCAAGCTCCCTTGTACCCATACTCCAAGAGGTTGTTTTTCATCAAGCTTTATGCGGACACAAACTCTTGCGAATTCTCTCCTACTCCACTGGAACATGTTTCCATCAATCAAGTAAGGAGATCCCACCATGGATACAATCCTACAAACATTAATCTCATCCCAACATTGAAGTGGGAAAGTAGGCATATGAATCCATATAGGAGCCGTGAGGCCTTTGAATGAAGGTGTGAACGATGGAGACCATTTGACCATTCCAAAAATATTTCCATTAACATACCATGGTCCTGAAGTTAAGACTTGTTTCAAAGGTTCAGGTTCTTCAAAAGCACAGAGAACCCAACCTAATCCAAGCAAAGTTAAGTGAAATTTGCCAAAAATTCTCCACTGTCTTTTCAACTCAATACTGATAATATGAAATGGGATTTTGTCACTAAAGATTTTGATAACAATTGATTTCTTAAGTTTATTTGAGTTCTCCAGTTCCTTATCAACATTTAGTTTGACAACCGAGCCATCAGTAATGAAGTCTTCTCCAAATTTGAAGTCAGTTACTTGGATGTTTGATTTTTTTCCTCCAAGCATTCCCAACGGTCTTATTTGTAACCGGCACTTCCAAGCAGTTATTTTGTTGAATGCAATTTACCAAGTCTCTTGATGCGCATTCACGAACGGTATTTAGATCTAAGCCATGTTGATACTAGCCTATTTCCTTTACAACCTTTGAATCCACAGATTTGAGTTCTGTAGAACCATTACCCTCCACCTTGCTGGAATGAGTCGTTGAATCTGCTATCAGTTTTGTCCTCTTTATTGCAATTGCCCAGGTCTGCTGAGATGCATTCACGGACCTTTCCTGAATCACCAGCATGCCTTTGCACATCAACTATTTTCTCAATTATCTTCTCAACATTTATTACTTCCAAAACTGGGGCTGGGCGACCAGAATCAGAAACAACAGACATCAATATCTTCGACTTTGCCCTATCAGATTTTGAAATATCAGAGTCACTGACGGCAGATTGGTAACCAATTTTTGCTCCTTTCTGCAAAACAAGTAAATTGAGGATCTATTGCTCAGAGTGATGGTGAAATAGATGGGGATATTATCAGCAGAATTCAAGTTGGATGGTTGAAGTGGAGGAATGCATCGGGCTTGTTATGTGATAGAAATATACCCCTCAAACTTAAGGGAAAATTCTATAAGATGGTAGTGAGGCCTGCAATGCTTTATGGTGCCGAATGTTGGCCTTTAAAAGAGAAGCATAATACTAAGTTAAGTGTGGCAGAGATGAGGATGCTCAGGTGGATGAGTGGCTTTACCCTTAGAGATAGGATACGAAATGAGCATATACGTGAAAAGGTTGGAGTAGCTCCAGTAGAAGATAAGATTAGAGAAAGTCGCCTTAGATGGTTTGGTCACATAAAACGGCGGCCTTGCGATGACCCGGTTAGGAGAGTAGAGGTATTAGATTTGACTTATGTTAAGAAAGGTAGGGGTAGACCTAAATGACCTTTCTTTATTAGATTTAAACGAGAATTTGACTTTTAATAGGACCCAATGGAGAAAAAGGATTCATGTAGCCGACCCCACGTAGTGGGATAAAGGCTTGATGTTGTTGTTGTTGTTGTTGTTGTTGTTGTCTGCAAAACAAGTAAATTGAGGGCTTCATCTGGGATATCCATAAGGACCTTCTTCCCTTTTCCTGTATATTCCATTTATTTTTTCGGCTGAATAAAACCTCCTTCATTGATGACCAATGCTCCAGCTTTTTTAAATCTTGATTTGGACTGTTGATCAAACATCATAGTTGCATCACCAAAAGCAGGTGGAGACGACCATGGATTGCACGAGGATGAATACGAACAGCATATGTTGATGTCCGACGACCGTCAGTGGCGTCGGAGGGTGGAGGCCGACGGCCCTCCATCGCCATTAGTGGAGAGAGGACTTTGTGGGAAGTGCAAATTCAAAAAAAGGAGTTTTCTCTCACTAGAAAACCGGGATTTTCTCTCCAATCCAGTCAATGTTGAAGCTTAATTGAGGATGAAAAATTATGTTTATGCAGGCTGATTTATTCAAATTATTTATGGAATTAGTGCTCGAACATGAAATTATATTTATGTAGTATCGGTAGATACTTATGATATTGTTTTATTGAAATGACAAGTGTTTTTTCATTTCTAATGAGTTGTGCAAGGTGAAAATTTTATTTTATTTGGAGATATTTCAATAAAATTTTGAAACTTCATTAAAGCATTAATCATTTAATAGTGTAGATCCTTGATTGCCTTATTTGTCCTTCATAATTGCCTTGTTCATTATATCATGATAATCTTCTTGTTGATGGCGACCTTCCATTAATTGAAATCTGCATGAATATGTTGCATCCTTGTAGGTGTCGTATGTTCTGTGAGTCGTTCTTATGCATCATAAACATCATGGAATTCTCACCAAGCTCAACGCTTGTAATTTCAGGATCAAGATAACTCTTACTTAAAGCAAATACAAAAATAACATAACTAGACTAATAACCCTCAAACAATTAGCCCTAGGTAGGGTTGAGATTGTGAGCCTTCGGACCAGCAGGCTTGCATTTGCTGTATTGCAGGAGCCGGCCCAAGCTGTGGATCAGTCTAGGTTGGGCCGGTCCAAGCGTATCAATACACCGCTCCCAAAGAACTACCTTATCTTCAAGGTGAAAAGATGGGAATTGATGGTTCACTCTTTCGTAAGGCTCCCATGTAGCATTCTAATCAGGAATGTCCTTCCACTTGATCGGCACTTCTTTGAGCCATCTCTCTCCCTAGCGTAAGCCTTATAGCTTCATGGGTTCCAATACTACTTTCAAATCTTCAGTCAATATTATTGACAACTCTGAACTGACTGTGTGATCCCTCAAAGCTCTCCTCAATCGTGACACGTGAAATACTAGGTGGATGGTGGTTTTTGTAGGCAACCTCAAGCAATTCACCTATGCTCCAGTTTTCTCTAATATCTCATAAGGGCCGAAATGTCTTGGAGCCAATTCCTTGTTCCTCCTGGAAGTGACTGTAGCTTTAAAAACACTCTCCTCAACTTCAAACTGGATGTCTTTCTTATGCCCATCTATCTGTTTCTTCATAATCTGTTGAGCTCTTAATAGATACTTCCTCATATCTTCCAACACCATCTCCCTCTCCTCTAAGTATGCTTCTACTGAAGAAACTGGAGTGTACTCTGCCCAAAATGCACTAGATGAGGCGGATCTCTCTCGTTCAACACCTTGAATGGGGTCATCTAAGAAGCATAATGATATGAAGTGTTGTACCAATACTCTGCGCATGCTAATCACTTGGCTCAAAGCGAGGGGTTTTCAACACAAAGCATCGTAGGTATGTATCTAAGCTTATATTTACCACCTATGTCAACCCATTGGTTTGTGGGTGGTAGGAGGTGCTCCTTTTCAGTACTACCCCCCATAGTCTGAATAATTCTCTTCAAAAATGGCCGAGGAACATCTATCCCTATCAGATATTATAGTCTCTGGTCTCCCATGTAGTTTAACCACCTTCGTGATGAAAGCTGATGCCACTGTCATTGTTATGTAGGGGTGTCGTAGGGGAACAAAATGAGCATATTTGCTTAGCCTGTCTATTACCACTAAATCATGATGAATCCTTCAGATCAAGGTAACCTGTTTGTAAAATCTATGACGACCTCCCATGCTTGATCTGGTAGAGCAAAAGGCTGCAATAATCCTCCTAGAGCCATGGCCATATGCTTATTCTGCTGACAGACCTCACAATTGGCGACCAACTTCTCCACATCCTTATGGATCCCCTTCCAATACAACTCCTAGGCAAGTATCATGCATATCTTCTGCACCCCCTAATAGTACTCCCATGGAACTCCTGGAGCAGGTGTGGAATATGAATTGAGGTCCTAGGCATCACAAATCGCCCATGGTACAAAAACCTCACCATTCTAGAGAATAGCTAGGATGGTTATTCCCATCCTTTAATAAATTTATCCTAATCCTCCCTAACTCTTCATCTCGGGCACTCCTTAATAAATATCCAGAAGTCTGCTTCAAATTAATCAGTTGAGTCCATTGGTCTGGTATAAAGTTGAATTATCTGGATCTTAGAACCCCAGTATGAACAGTTAGGAGTACCCTAGGTTCTTTTCTTATTAAATGAATTCAATTTTGATTTAAACTATTTGAATCCTTGATCAGAATGGTTTATTCTTCAATTCTAATATATTTCATCCCTATAGAAATGGATTCAAATTCGATTCAACTCATATTAAATTGATTCTGACCTAGTTCCCTGAAAAGTTAAATTGGAATAGGTATAAAGGAGCAAATTGATCCACCTGCAAGTTGATCAAAGTTAGTCTACTTGCTCAATCCAAATTGAACCAAATCAGCAGATGTGGTTCTGGATTACATTTGATTGAACTAGATCTAATTTGAATCAATTGTTGAATGATTGAAATAAACTTGTTTTATTATTATTATTATTATTGAAATAAACTTAGTTGGCCCAAAGTAATTTAGTTTGATCTCGGTTTAACTCAAATGGCCTTGAATACAGAAGGAAAAATAGTGCATTGGGTCTAGACCGCAAGCTCAAGTAAATGTACCAAGGTCCTTCGAGACATTCAGTCAAGGCTTTTGCGTTAAACCCTCTTGTTCTTAATTAAAACCTGCTCTTCAAATCATGTTAATAAATGGCATATCCAAGGCTTAGACACTTGCACTTTAAATGAGTTTTTTTGTGAAGCTTGTTGGAACATATAACTCATGTTACTCCTTTGCATCAAAATAAAGTTAGCCTTCACTAGATTATCACTATATTCTCAAAGAATTAGGAAATATTAATTTGAAAAGAAGTGAATAGTAGTATTTCAGGGGCATGTTCTTGTTATTATTCTGAATAGTGTTTCATCTCTGCAGAATGTTTGTTGCCTCCTGCAAACGTCTACGCTTGATGAAAAGCTCAGAAGCTGTCAATTTAGGTAATAATCAATTGGTCGTTACAAATAGCTTTATAGTTTCCCTGTTGCCATGATGGCCCAATGCTTTTTCCCCCCCTTCTAAATTAGTTGGTAATAATCGTACTGTGCAGCTCCAAGGGCACCTCAGATTGACTAGAGCTAAATGTGAAAAAAAGGATAATGCCGCAGCACCATCACTGATTCACTGGTTATCATGTACAGGGATTGTTTCTAGTCTTCTTTGGCCTTTTTAAGTATTTACCGTTGTTTTTGAGTTTCTGGAAGTAGAGAAAATAATGAATATTTCTGTTGTACTACTTGTTAGTTATTGGTTTTGACTTGTTTAAGCTTGAAAGATACAAGTATAATATACGGTTTACAGTTTGTCTTGTGGGGTCAATAAGGTCGGAACTCCTTATTTGTGATTTCCCATTTATATGGTTTTGACTTGGAGGCTTATGCTAATGTTCTAAGGAATGAGGGTAATGAATATGAATACCTTTTAAAAAAAAATAATAATTTTGTTGAACCAGTGATGTGGATTCTCATCCATGATTAATTTCTCATCATGTTTAAATTCTTAATTTTCTTTCCTGACAGGATCTTGGCTAATCATTTTAGGTTATCATTATTTTCAAAACATATATTGGGTATGATGAAGATGGTGATTCTTCTTGCAAGATTTTTTAGGACACAAATTTAAACCTCACCATATATAAATATATATGTCTAAAAGCTAGCTTTTACCCGTCACTAAATATGCTTGATTGGTTTAACTAACCTTGCAAACTTCCGGTGCTTTCTGTTGCAAGTCAAACCTCTAATTTCTTTAAACATTCTTTTAATTGCTTCAACTTTTTATTTATTTTTGAAGGGCGTTTGGCTATCAATAGAAGCTCGCTTAATGTCTGACCTTCTGTTTTTGGCCTTTTAGAACATTTATAGTATGACTTTCAGTACGTGATTCAGATGTTTGTTTGCTGTTAATTTAGCTGTATTAGTTTCATATTGATGATGTGGGAATTCATCAACCAAGTATTTTTATTTTAGATTGGGTATTTTTTTTCTTCGGCAATTGATAAATCATTTAACATTATGACCAAATTTGGCTGAAATCGCAACTTTATCCGAAAGTGAATTACAGTGCTTTGCTCTACGTTATGAAGCGTCCATGGGTTGTGGCTGGTGGCACCGCTTGTGACATAATAGAAATGTTGGATTGGAAGCACTTTGTTGTCAAACCAAAAGCGAGGCCTGGATTTGTCTGCTTAGGTTGATGGGATTTGAATACACAAGTGAGGTAGGCGTTATACGTGACTCACTGCTTTTAATCTTTGAACAGTTTTGAAAAGTGCAAGCGAAAATTGTTCAGATATATTGATTGAAATGATCTCCTTCGTTCTGCTGCTTATACAGTTACGTTAAATTTCGGTTTGGCATTAATGGTTCCTTCTCTTCCAACTCTGTATAAAAGTGAAATGAAATTACGACAACTTATACTAATTTCGCTCAAAATTCCACTAATATGATAAAGCTCCAACTCATACATCTTGTTTTATTAAATTAACAATAGTTTGATGGATTAATTAAACTGGTCCCTGTATGAATTTCATATTTGAAAAAAAAAAAAAAATGGTGCTGAAACGGCATGACCAATAGAAGTGGATTATAAAGTGGTTGTTTGCCAAATGTTGGAAAAAGAAAAACTTTTAATAAGAGCAAAAAATGTTCTTAATTATTATTTTTTTAACTTTCAAAGCTACTTAAATTACTTATTTAAGTTTAAGTTGAAACAGGTCCATGTTGATGGTATATAATTAGTTTCTGTTAAAAATTGTTCAATTTAGCTTATATGTTTTACCACTAGATTATTCTTTCTCTATCTCCCTCTTTATACATACATATAAAGAGAGAGACAGAGGCAGAATCATACCTAGTACCCTCAAACTTGTAGTTTTGTTAAATTAAGAGGTCTACTTAGATAATATTACCACCTCAAATCTAATTTTGCCCATATTTAAACAAATAATAATAATAAATCACATCCAACTTGATTTGAGAGCTCTGTCCACTCTTGTAGTGACTTTCGATTTGACAAGAACAATTTCGTTGAAGGAAGCAAATAAGCTTCTTTAGCGGCTATTTTAAAATCTACTACTAGAGAAATCAAAGTAGCAACAAAAAAATAATTATGAGAAGAAGAATTGGTGATGATGAAAAAGCAAACGGTAGGCAAGCTATGGCTTTAGAAAGATGATAGACAGATTTTAGAGAAGAGAAATTATAAATATAGGAAGACAATGGCAGAGCAAAATATAACATCACACCTTTTGCCACAATTTTTTTTTTTCTAATGAATGCAATTAAATCATTTGATTTTGTTCTCACAATGCATTAATGATTGTTACTTGGGGGATCTTAAATGAGTTGACATAATCCTTAGAAAGAAAGATAAAAACATTTAAAATTTGTATAAGTATCAAAACAATGGCTATAGATGAGAGAGCATGGATGGAGTAGTTACTGGATGAAGTGTCACGGTTTTGTAATAATTTTGAAATTGATGTTACCAATATAAATGATGCATCAAGACTTATCTATGATCAATGTGAAGAGGTGAAGAAATAATGAACTTTTTCTTATTATCGTGTTGAATAATTTTACAAAATAGTTGATATTCAATTTCAAGAGTCAAATAATTATTTCTTCGAATCAACTATAAGTTAGTTTTTTGTGTGACAAGCATAAATCCAAATAATTTATTCTCTATTTATGATAAACAGAAATTGAATCTTCTAACGGAGTTATATTTAAATAATTTTTCTATAGTTGATCTTATGGCTCTTAATCATTGGCTATCTATTTATATTATTGATATGCATATCATGAAATTTGTAGGCACTGTTCATTTCATTGATCATAACAAAATATAAGATTTTATTTTAAATTATATATATATATATATATATATATATATAATTTCTTTAGTGGATAATGATTAAGAAAATATCGAAATAGAGAAATATAATACGGATAGCCTTAGGAGGTCGTGGAATTGAATGAATAATCGTCAGAGGTGCCATGGCTCTGCGATGGTCATCTCAACTACTTTAATAAATTAGTTTTATGTCTATCAGTTTAATTAACCATAGAGCTCTAAACCCTACCCCACGAGAAATTATCCTCAAAATGTGCTTTCTCGACCATAATTGTTATACATCAGTGTGGATAAGGGCATGATATTACTCGAAACAATCTGTCATTTTATAGCTTTATGGTACGGATAACTGTTAAGCCATCATATTTAAGTTATTTTTCAAATGAGTTTAATATAATTCTCTCAATTCTTCTTACGCACACAATTATAATATTTTCAACACTAAGCTTTATAGAATAAAGGAGCATATGATATAAAAAAAAATAATTGATCAACATTAGGTTTTTTAGTGGCATGTAACATAGAAAATTATTTTCACTAATAATAATCGGTGAAACTTTAGCATAATTGATTGAAATTTCAAAGCACTTTATTTTGTGAAAAGCCGTGCTGTCTAATAAATCTCCCTAACAACGTTTACTAAAAGGGAAAGGTTAGCTCAACAAGCTATTTTGAATATAAGAATTACTAATTTTTTTTTATACTGACATGTTGTGTCAATTATTAATTTAATGAGAATGAACAAAGGGAATAAAGTTTGAATTCCTATTGGGATTGGATCAAGTTTTGAACACTTATTTTTAGGGGTCAACAGAAGAGAAGTAGGAGACATTTAGGATTTTGAAGCAATTCAAAAATGTCTCAATCTACCCTATGTGTTGGGCTTTAATTTTTTGATTGAAGAAAATTTTAATTCAAATTGTCGATTTATTAGAAAGTTGGGATTATATTCCAGAAATTAGGGTCTTATGATTTTGAATTCGTCCCGGATCCTAAGTCTAAATTGAGCACTAAACTATAGTGACATGTACCTTGCTAATGTAGTACAAATCTTATCCTAGTCTAGATTGGAGATCGAGCTAACCATATAGGCGCTTAAAATCACTACAAAGAAATGGGTAATTAGTGACTAACAAAATTGGTCGCTAAAAATGTTAATTTGGATGCTAAAGCAAATAGCGACAAAAAATATGTGGGTCACTAATTTGTCGCAGCAGCTTTGTCACTGAGGCTTTTAGCGACCACTAATTAGTATTTCTCGCTAAAATTGGACATATTAGCGACATTTTTTTTTGATGCTAATGAATATTTATTTGGATGCTATTTAATAATTTTAATAATTAATTTTATTTATTACATTTTCCCTTTAGCGACCAAAATAAAAATTGTTCACAAAATGATCGACCTAATGAATCACATGCCCCTTTAATTTCATGATGTTTTAATATATATTTATGGTTATAAAAGTTATGATATTTAGTAAAAAATATTATTATCCAATTATTATGCCTTGTTTATAACAATTAAGATAAATCCATCACTCCTTTATGTTGCAATTAGTTAGATAAATTTCATAATAGATTAATAACACATTTTATTAGCTTAAAGTAACAATAATAAAAAGCATAGAATCCAAAAAAATTATATTCAAACTTTAATATCATTGTCAAGAATTTGCTAGGAGAAAATGAAAACTATATTCATTTATATGCTTTTACAAATACATCCATCAATTAACATAAAAAATGCGATATCAGAAATCATTAATCATAAAATCTTAATGTTTACAAAATGATAACATCTAGTTAACATAAAAATCTTTCATTAACTTTTATGCAAATAAATATCAAATTACAAAATCAGCTCTCTCAGAGGTAAATGACAACATCAATCTATAATCACATTTAACAAAGCTTGTGCATTCGGAAGAGAAAATCACTCCATCCTATCTATATAATCGAAAATCTTAGATAAGCTGCTACTAAAACGAATGCTATCCATATTGGAACAGTTCACTAGAAGGATGCAACAAGCTTAGCTCTGGTTCCTCTTCAACAGCTTTCAAAATGACAACATCCAGATTTGACTTGTAGAAATTAATTATCAAGTTAGATGCATAAATATTGTAGTTTTTCAAATAAGGAAACTTTATGGGCGAGAAAAATCTATCACAAAACATCAAAGACAATATTAAAGAAAATCATCATGAACAAATAAGATAGTTTCATCAAACACTCATAAAGATGCTTCATTTCGGTGATGGAATTTACCAACTGTTTGGATCGGAATAGAAGCCATTAATGGAGCCATCACTACAGAAGAAGCACATATAGTAGAAACCAACTATTATCAAACCACAATCTATTCCAACAGTAAATAATGCTGTCAGGATTCCAGTCCTTACAAATGGAAATATCCGCCATTTAGATGATGTTCTTAGCTATTTGATGCACACGGGGGCTGAAGGTGTGATCCCATGCCTTGGAGAATATTGGTTCGATTGATCTCATGTGCACAAGATGTTAGGGGGCTTAAATAATCTGGATGATTACATTTTCAATTCTAATATTTTTTACTTTGTGAGGGATATTAAATAGTTAATGTTCTATATTAATGCCTCCTTCTCTCATGTGTATATGGAGTGGAATGCCTGTGTTGAATGGTTGGCTAATTAGGGTTATGATTTTGATTACTTCATTTATTTTTTCAGCTAATAACTTACCTGACCTTTTAAAAGGGCTTCTTAGATTGGATAAAATTGGTACCCCTTATATTAGAATTTAATGTGTTTTGTTCATTGGACCTTGATTTTTGCCTTGAGATTACCACAATTTTGACTAGCTGGTAGGTTTTGCTGGATTGTGTTTACCGGAGCCATTTTATTCATTTATTACTTGGTCTTGGTTGTGTTATTTTGTCTATTAATTGCTTGGTTATACGTCTTATGGTTCTTTTACCTTAGATTCCCTAACTGCTTGGGTGTATTACTATTTTGGTATTTCTATTTTGTTCTGCGTGATTATCCTTTTAATGATTTGCTTAGTTGAATTGGATGGTACGGTGTGGAGTTTATTATTATTGTACTATCTTATGTGTGGTTGGGGAGTTTTTTATTTTTATCTTTATAGTTTTGTTTCGTTATTAGTATTAGTAGGTATTCATTATTGTTCTGGTCCCAATTCTCTAGGTGTTGGTTTGGAGGTGTGTGTAAGGTGCTTTGTGCTTGACTGATTCTGCTACCCGATGTTTGTTGGGAGTGTACTGATGGTTTCTCTATGGTTCCTCTTATCTGGGAGGTTGTTTAGGGGCAAGGCTGGGTGTGGCTTTATGTTTTGTTTACTGTGGTTGGGTTACTTTGGGGTAATTTAGGTGGTGGTTGGTTGGAATCTCTTAGTTTGGTTGCTGGGTTTTATTACGGCAGGTTGTTCCTTTCTTGCTAATAATGGCAATCCGCCTATTCGCCAGTCTGGATTAGGCTTTCTAACCTTCCTTTGGAGTACTGGGATGAGGCTAATTTGGCGAGGTTGGCTGTCGGGATTGGGGAACCGCTATTCATGGATGAGCAGACCAAAATGTGGAATAGATGTGCGTTTGCACGTATTTGTGTCCGGTTGGACTTGTCAAAGAAATTACCTAAGGGGGTGTGGGCCCAAGGCTTGAGTGGAACTTTCTTCCAACCAGTTGAGTATGAAGGAATACCTCTGATATGTTTGAAATGTAGTAGAGTGGGCCATAAGGCTGACTGTTGTTTGGAAGTGTGCTCTCCTCCCTTGCAGTAGGCCAAGAAGGATATTCCATTGCAGGAACAGGTTGGATTTGCTGATTCTAGGCATGAGGAGGGGGCTGTAGATCGAGATTGTAGTGTCAATCCGGCCTCTGGAGATAGTGTGCCTAATGGGGTGTCGAGGGCTGTTGATAAGAACTTTGGGGAATGGACTATCGTCACTAGGAGAAAACGTCCCAGCTCTGGAAAACCTGGGAACAAATCACAAACGTCCAATGTTAGACAAGCTGGTCCGACTATAACTGTGGATAAGAAAGCTGTTTGGCGAGAAGTTGCTAAGGCACAGAACGTAGATGAGATTCAAGCCATGGATGTGAATCTAGTGGGTGAGAATAAGACGGGGCTTAATGCCATGGGCAAGGGTGTGGCCATTGAGGAGGGGGCTGTTTGTAATTTTCAGGCTAACAGCCGGGTTGCTGATCCTGAAGGTGTGGAAATGTTATAGAGTAAGGAATCTTTAGCTGGGGGATGGGGGCCTGTGAGGGATGTTGGAGGTTTGCCACAGCTTCAGGTGCCTGTTGATGGTCGGGATAGTATGCACTGCAATGTGCAGCCGAGTGGGGGACACGTTGGTAAAGGGGATCTTGCTCAGTCTCGGAGCATGGGATCGAAGAGGTTGAGGAATTGGAGGAATCCTGTGGATTCTCCCTCGCAGTTGTTGGTCCCCAAAGTGTTAAATTTCTCTGATAATAAGGCTAAGGTGGCAAAGGCTACTGACAAGCACGATAGAAAGGCTAAGGCCCGGTTCACTAAAGAAGTCAAAGTTTTTGAACCGTTGTAGAAATTTCCTGGGGTCAGAAGAAACATGGCGGCAGATGAAGTGTTGACTCTCTCAACCAGCGACCATTTGGTTAATGTCATTGAAAACTCTGGGCGTGAACGGGATACTAGTGTGGAACTGGGAGATAGGGCCTTTGTCTATGGGCCAGATTTACTCAATGGAGAAAAGTGCGGCGGGGACGCTTCCCCTTTAGTGGATAATGTTTAGTCTCTTATATTGGAATTGTAGAGGTGCTCGTAAGGAGATGGACAATTATTTATGGCACCTCATTGGGGAGCACAGGGTTAGTCTCATTGGTTTGCCTGAGACTAAAAGGGAGCTTGTTTGTAGAAAAGACATTTTACAGAATTGCTGTGAGGGATTGGGAATTTGTTTTTCAACCGACTACTGGCAGAGCCGGAGGTATTCTTGTTCTTTGGAAGCTTGCTGATGTCTCTTTTCATGTTTTATTTCAAAGCAAACAGTGTATCATGGAGAAGTGTACTATGGCCAATAATATTGAGTGGGAGGTTGTTGTGGTTTATGGGGACACAGAGAGATACAGTAAAGGCAATTGTGGGGGGATATCTCCATATATCATACAGTGGACTCACCTTTATTAGGGTGGAGGACACGGGTAGTGAAGCGGCTAAGCTTCAGAAGAAATGTTAAAGGACTTTGAAGGCGTTGTTCTTTTGGAGTAAGAACAAATTTAAGGAGCTTACTCAACTGAAGGAAGATCTGTACAAAGAGATTAAGGTTTTACAGGAACTAGAGTGTTTGTTGTTGGGATTGACTGATGCCCAGATGGAATCCCTGCGGTATAAGGTTCAGTTGCTAAATGGCACTCTCGCTCGTCTTACGACATGGTGGAGGCAGCGCGCTAAGGTAAAGTGGATTGAGGAAGGTGACAGTAATTCTCATTTTTTTCACTCTATGGCTTCAGCTAGGAGGAGAGCCAAGAGCATTGGTTCCATTAGACAAGTGGATGGGACGGTGGTGTCTGAACAAAGGGACATTGCCAAGACTATCTTCAGTTTTTTTTGAGCAGAAATGGAAAGAACAGGGCATTGTAGAGGTCGGGTGGTCTTCACTGGAATCCCAAATAACTTATTTGGCTTAGTTTGCAGGGATGCTCGACGCGGAAGTTACCAAGGAGGAAATATGGGCTGTTATTAGCTCTCTGGGCCGAAATAAAGCTCCTGGGAGAGATGGGATCACGGCCTCGTTCTTCAAGTTTTATTGGGATATTGTTGGAGTGTAGGTTTTGAGGGCTTGCTTGGAATTCTTCACTTATGGGTTGATGGATTCATATTGGAAGGAGACGGTAGTGGTACTCTTGCTTAAAGTTGTGAGCCCGGATCATCCTTCCAAGTTTAAACCGATTAGTCTATGTCAGACAATCTATAAGATTGTTGTGAAGGTGCTTGTGAACCGGATTAAGGGTGTGCTGCCAAGTTTGATATCGGAGGAACAAGCGGCATTCGTTTTGGGGCGTTCTAATTCTAATCACTACTTGCTAGGAGAGGAACTGATGCACAAATTTAAGGTCTCAAAGTCGACGAAGGGGTTTTTGGCCTTGAAAGTTGACATGGAACAGGCTTATGACAAGATGCGTTGGAGGACTTTGGAGATGGTTATGAGCCGTATGGGCTTTCCTCCTAGATTTTGTACTTGGGTGCTCGGCTTTGTCAAGGATCCTAAGTTCTTTATTCTTATAAATGAGCAACTTACGGAGGCGATCACTGCAGGGTCTGGGTTCCATTAGGGGTGCCCCTTGTCACCCTACTTGTTCATCCTTTGTTCTGAGCTGTTGTATGCTCTCTTTCAGCAGAAATTCAGAGAGCTCGGTGTTCCTATCTGTGGTGGGGGACCTTCTGTCTCCCACCTCCTTTATGCTAACAATATTTTATTTTTTGCAGGTGCCTCTATTCCCAATGCTGAGAAGCTTAAATCCATTCTCCAGGACTACTATTCTTGGATGGGCCAACGGACAACACGAACAAGTCAGCCATTCTCTTTAGTAGGAGGACTCCTTCCACTACAATGTTTCGGCTGGCTAGATTGATGGGGTGCTGCAAGGTGGATGAGCTGGACTACTTGGGCATCAAGTTGGCCATGAGAAGGCTCACTAGGAAGGATTTTGCTTCGTTAACTTAGAGAGCTGTTGAATGTACTCTGAAGTGGGGGTTTCGACATCTCTCTATGGCTGGACGTATTGCACTTATTAATTTTGTGTTGTTGCTGAGTCCAGTGTACTTGATGACCCATATTGTTGTTCCAAGGTGTCCTAAACAAAATTGAGAAGGTTTGTCGCAGTTTTTTATGGGACAAAGACTCTACTCATAAAAGCTTATATTATCTAGCTTGGGAAGGCATGACTCAACTGAGACGTCTTGGGAGCCTTGGGTTCCATGCGTCTATTGACTGGATCGGGCCTTTGCGTTCCATAATCACTTGGGACTTTATCTATAAGCCTGAGGGATTACTATAGAGGTGTTTTAAACATAAATATTGTGGTAACCCTTGGGAGTATGAGATGAGAAGAGGGATCTCCAATTGTGGGAGGATCATTTGTGACGGGGCTAGTAGTTTACATAGCTCGGTTCGCTGGAATATTTGCAATGGACAGAATATTGAAGTTCTTAATGACACTTGGATTTGGGATAGGGCAATTTCTGGATGGTCTATATTCTGTGATGTTGCTGCAATTGAAAATCTGTTAGTTTTTTATTTTATCCCTTAGATTGTCTAATATGCTCTCTTGGTGTCCTCCCCCTTCAGATTGGTTGAAAATAAACTTAGATGGAGCTCTGCATAACTCGAATGCTGGGGAGATTGGTATTGTCATCCATGACAATGGTGGGAGGTTGGTGGTTGCGGCTGGCTAGAGCTTAACGCATTGGGACAGCTCGCGTGTGGAATTGTTGGCTTTTCAATACATTGATAAACTACTCCAACATTGGATGTATGAGTTGAATGGAGTGATTTTGGAAGGAGATAATGCTGGAGTGATCAAGCATATGCAAGATTTTGTAGAAAGGGGGAAATGGAAGTTGCAGCCGAGGGAGTGTGAGGAACTGAATTGCATCAGGTTGTTTCAAAAAGTGATTTTTGTGCATACCTATAGAAGATTCAACAAAGCTACCCATTTTTGTGCACAAAGGGCCATAGATAGTTCTTTTTTTTTGGAATACTAGGGATAGTTTCAACCATTGTATTCCTCAAGAATTTTTTGCTATTCTTGAGGAAGATAGCGGTTTTTCCTTTTTTGAGAGCACTAATGGCCAGTAGCTTTTCTTCGAAGTTTGTAATTTCCTTTTTTTCATGAATGCGATTGCAAATGTTCGGCCATCTCTCTCCCTCTCTCTCCCTCTCTCTCTCTATCCCCCCTCTCTTTCTCTTTCTACCTTTCTCTCTCACTCTTTCTACCTTTCTCCATCTCTCTCTCTCTCTCTTACACACACATACACACTCTTTCTACATTTCTCCATCTATCTTATTCCCCTCTCTTATTCCTCTCTCTCTCTCTCTCTCTCTTATTCCTATATATCTCTCTCTCCCTCTCTCTTGCTCTCCCTTTCTCTCTCTCCCCCTATCTCTCTCCCTTCCTCTATCCCTCTCTCTCTCTCATTCTCATTCTCTCTCTCTCTCTCTCTTAATCTCTCTCTCTATCTCTCACTCACACACACTCTCTCTCTCTCTCTCTCTCTCTCTCTCTCTCTCTCTCTCTCACTCTATCTTATTCCTCTCTCTCTCTACCTTTCTCTATTTATCTTATTCCTCTCTCTCTATCTAGCTATCTCTCTCTGTCACTCATTCTCACATTCTCTCTCTCTCTCTCCATCTCTCTCTCTATCTCTCTCTCTCACTCTCTCTCTCCTTTCTCACTCTCTTCCTTTCTCCCTCTATGTTATTCCCCTCTCCCTTTTCCTCTCTCTCTCTCTCTCTCAATCTATCTATCTCTCACTCTATCTACCTTTCTCCATCTCTCTTATTCTTCTCTTATTCCTCTCTCTCTCTCTCTCTCTCTATCTTGTTCCTCTCTCTTTATTCCTCTCTCTCTCTCTCTCTCTCTCTCTCTCTCTCTCCCTCTCTCCCTCTCTCTCTCCCTCTCTCTCTCTCACTCCCTCCCTCACTTTCTCTCTCAAGCATCATTTCATCCCATTTCTTTCTCTTTCTAGGCGTAACTTAGTGAGAGAAAAAATTGGGATGGCGGGGGGTGACCGAAGGTGGTGACGAAAATGCTGGTGGCGATGATCGGAGACATTTGAGCGGTGGTTCGAGAGGTTTGAAGAAGGTAGGAGATTGCTCTACTAGTAAGATCACGGGGAGTAATGCTAAGGGAAAGAAACGAGAAGCTGGTAGAGGCGTATCCGATGGATCTCTGAAAAGTCAGTGGGAGGCGAAGCTTAGTAACTTGGATTCCAAAATGGTGCAGCAGTTAGCCAGGGGCGGAAATGGCTCTTCTAAATCTCCTAGAATATAATTGGACTCTCCTCCAAAAGAGAATATGGATCTGGTTATGGATTCGGGGTTGAAGGTGGTTCTTAATCCGACATTCCAGGAGTTGGATTCGTCAATGGATGTGGAGGTTAACGCTGGTAATCTGGATCTCAAAACAAGGATGGATGAGATGATTAATATGGAGACTGCTACGGGTGGATTGGATGAGCCGATGGAGGTAAGGTCTATTCTAAATGATGTGAATAATGATGTAATGGACAATACTGGGTTGGACGGTAATGATCCGGTATCGGAGGTCAGATTGGAGGCTGTAGATACAGTCGGTGGAATTGGGGCAGAGTCTGCTCCTCTGAAGTAGACAATTCTTTGATTGGTACTTCAAGTGGTTGTAGAAATGCTGCTGCTAAAAGTGCTGCAGAAGGATTGGGGAACCTTGAAAGGAAGACGGAGAATAGAGGCCCGTTATTCACTGTAAGTGTTGGAAATGTTTGGAGGAAGCCAGAACATATTCCGATCATCCATCCTGAGAAAATATGTGTTGTCACGGCAGACGGGATTTCTGTAGATCTTGATTTGGACTGTGTGAAGTATAATTTGACTATGCTTGATAGAGCGATTGTTGGGAAGATTTTGGTGAGACGATCTTCTTAATTAATGCTGAAGTCGGAGATCTTGAGACAGTGGGGTAGATTTGGTGATTTTCAGCTCAGTACGTTGGGATCCAACTGTTTCGTTTGTATCTTTTCTTTGATTGAAGCCAGGGATGCTGTCTTGTGTGGAGGGCCCTGGTTTATTGGCGGAAACATCGTGGGGTTGGACAGGTGGACGCCAAATTTTTCTCCGGCATCTATGGAGGGTCTCTCATCCCCTGTTTGGATACGACTTCCTAACCTTCCGTTACAATATTGGGATGCTAGTAATATATCCCGAATTGCTTCGAGGATAGGACTTCCTCTCTGGATTGATGCACAGACGGGCAATTAGGGGAGACAGGAATATGCACGGGTTTGCATTCGGATGAACTTGGACAATAAATTACATTCAAGAGTTTGGGTCAATGAGTTGTATGGAAAGTTTTACAAGAAGGTGGAGTACGAAGGTATTGGTCTTCTTTGCTATGGTTGTGGTAAGGTGGGACATCGCAAGGAGCTGTGCCCATCAAAAGCTACTGGCCAAGGAGAATCTGGTATGAAAAAGTAGGGTGTATAGATGAAGATTGGAGGAGTGGGAGAGGGTAGCTCTGCTCAAAGTATACATAACATTAGAAGGCCTGCAGCGGAGAATATTAAGAAGGATGGGCCTTGAGTGCTTAAAACTGAAGGGGAGAACCAAAAGAAATTTTATAATAGTGATGATAAAGGTAAAGGGGTGGAGACAGCAAGAGAAAGGTCTTGATACCACTGTGAGGAATGTTGATGCTCAGGAGGAAGGGGATTTGGTTGGGCCGTGGATTCAAGTTCCTCCACACCGGCGTAGGAGTGCCTGTTCTCAAAGCAGGCCTCAAGAAAATAACGGTAATAAGCATATGGTAAATATCCCTCCTCAAGTGGATCTGCGTAAGATTAAGGAACCCTAAAGGAACATGAAGCCAACCCAGAAACAAATTAAAATGGGCATTAAGAAGCCTCTGCCTTTTACGGCAGGTATAAAACCTGTTATGCCTAAGCATAACAGATATAAGATTGAAAAGGAGTTGAGCCAATTGGGAAAAATTGCAGAGCTCCCACCGAAGAGGAAGAAGGAGGTCATAGAAGACACTGGCGGCGGGGACGCCTCCCCTTTCATTTATTAATGTCTTCTATGTTGATCTGGAATTGCAGGGGTGCCCGTAAGAAGATGACGAGATACTACCTGCGAAGCCTCATTGGCAGCAATGAGGTCTGTTTTGTAGGGTTAATTGAAACCATGATTGAAGATAATAGCATAATTGAGGTAGATAGACTCATTGGCAGTGATTGGGACTTCTTCCATTTCCCTGCGATGGGTAAATCGGGAGGTCTACTTGTATTGTGGAGAAGGGACATCACACAGTTTGAAGTATGTATGACTATGGATCAGGCCATAATTGGCCGATCAATTTTACCCAATCAACAGAAGTGGTTTGTTGCTATTCTTTATGCTAATAAAAATTACTACACTCGTCGGTTGATGTGGAATTCTATTGGTTCAATGATTAGTTCTGATATTCCTGTGATAATGGGGGGAGATTTTAACTATTGTTTGGATGAAAGTGAGAAGGGTGGAAGAAGATTCAGCTACTCGGTGGGAGCTCAGGAGATGGCTGATTTCCTTGTGGATAATGATTTGCATGATTTGGGCTTCGTGGGACCAAGATATACTTGGTCGAATAATAAGAGTGGCAACAACAAGATTTGGGTTAGACTTGACATAATTTTGATGAACTCAGAAGGGCTTCGTTTGGCTCCTTTGGCAACAGTTAAGTACCTTATTCGACTTGCTTTGGATCATTGTTCCTTGTTGCTGAATCTAACTCCTGTTTCACCGAGACCTGGAAGCAGATGGCTGAGATTTGAAGACATCTGGATGACGTACCCGATTACCAGGAAGCTTGTCTGGAAGAACTGGACAAAGAATGACTATGGTCAACCTAATGAGGTGTTGAACCAAAAATGCTCTAGAACACTTAAAGTTTTGTTTTTCTGGAGCCGAAACAAATTGAAAGAGCTCGGGGAGCTAAAGCTTTAGCTGAAAGGCCGTATTGAGGAGCTCCTAAATCCTAGAGAGCTCAGGTGATGATTTGAGTATGGAGCAGGATGAGGAGCTAAGCTGGAAAGCCTCTGAGCTGAATTCTACATTGGCTCGTATGGCTACATGGTGGAGGCAACGAGCGAGGATTAAATGGATTGAGGAAGCATATGCTAATTCTCACTTCTTCCACTCATCGGCATCTGCTCGGAGAAGAGGAAATAGAATTGTTGAAGTTCAAAGTTCTGTTGGAAATAGCATCACCGATCCGATCCTTATCCAGGAAGAATTTTGGAATTCTTTTATGATGAAATGGAGAGAAAGGCAAGTTGTTTTGGATAATTGGCCAGAGTTTGTGAGTCAAGAAAGGGTCCCGGAACAACTAAGTGATAGTTTGGAGGGGGAGATCACTAAATAGGAGGCCCGCCAAGCTATTTTTAGCTTAGGGAAGAATCGTTCTCCGGGTATTGACGGTATTAATTCTTCCTTAAAGTTTTATTGGGACATTATTAAAGGTGATGTTACCCGTGCTATTCTTTATTTCTTTGAGACTAACTCTATGTGTGAAAGCTAGAAAGATACAATGGTGGTCCTTATTCCAAAGATTGATAATGCAAATATGCATTCTAAGTTTAGGCCAATCAGTTTATGCCAGTCTTTTTATAAGATAGTGGCCAAGGTATTGATTAACCACCTTAAACCTGTGTTGAGCAGTATTATCAGTGAAGAGCAGGGGGCATTTGTTTCGGGAAGGTCGATATCTAGCCAGGGGATGCTGGCTTAGGAGATGATGTACAAATTCAAATGCTCAACTCAGAAGTCTGGGTTGATGGCTTTGAAAGTTGTTATGGAGCAAGCCTACGACTGTATGTCATGGGAGACTTTAGAAAAAGTCATGAAGCTTATGGGATTTAAGGAGCAGTTCATTCTGTGGGTGATGTAGTGTGTCACTCGGCCTCAATTTACCCTTCTTATTAATGGAAGTCAAACCCAGTGGATTAATGCCAAGAGCGGTCTTCGACAAGGGTGTCCGTTGTCACGATATCTATTTATTATATGTTCAGAACTACTATCCAAAGCTTTTCGGCAGAGGGGAGGGCAACTTGGGATCCATATTGTTAAAGATACTGATAGAATATCGCATTTACCGTATGCTGATGATATTCTTGTTTTTGCTGCAACCGCATTAATGCTATTCATATTATGGGTCTGCTAGATGACTATTGTAGTTGGAGAGGTCATAGGATTAATTGTGGTAAGTATCCTATTCTCTTTAATAAGAAATGTCCTAATTGGAAAAAGAGAATGCTTGCCAAATTGATGAAATACAGAAACGTGGACTCTCTTGAATACCTTGGACTTCCTTTGGTCATGAGGAAACTTGCTATTGCAGACTTTGCTAAGGTGATGAAGGCTGCTCAAGAGAAGATGATTGTGTGGGGCAAAAAATAGCTCTCGTTGGCGGGTAGAGCTTTACTGATTAACACGTCTTTATTGTCAATCCCTATATATCTTATGACTCATACTGTCATTCCTAACAGGGTTCTAAACTGTATTGAGAGGTTGGGGAGACGGTTTCTTTGGCAAAAGGACCCAAATAGAAAAGGTATGCATTATGTGGGGTGGCAGGAACTATGCAAATCGAAGAATCAAGGAGGCCTCGGGTTTCATGATCTTCTCGTCTGGAAGGGTGCTCTCCGCGCTCGGATTGTATGGGAACTGCTCCAACATCCTGATTCTTCCTTGTATAAAATTTTGTTGACTAAATATGGTATGAGGCTTTGGGATAATACTCAAGGGTATAAGATTTCTACTACCTGGAAGGTTATTGTCATGATCTGGCCCGATTAGCGCGTAAATACGAGGCGAGAACGGAATTGGACGTTCAAAACAATTTAATCATCATATTTCATATATAACAATTCCAAAAGACTTTAATAGGAATATAAAAGCGACTCTAAACTTTTTCCAAAACATGTATTTAACATTCAAACCATTACAAAAAGGAAGTTCATGTACAAGGTGGTTATAAACTTAATCTATCCATGCTATGACAAAACCACCCAAAAGAAGTAGCTATAACTAAAAAAAAAAACAAGAACCTGTCACCCGTTGCGCGTCGACTATATGTAAACCTCGGGTGTTCCGCCATCACTTTTGAGAAGGTTCTCCTGAAATTTTCCCAAAGTTAGGGAGTGAGCTACGCTCAGCAAATGACAACTACATATAAAGTTCATATGCATAGAAAAGAAAACAATATGTAGGTGGAGAACATGTGCTAGTGTATGCCTTAAGCCATGTACTATGTTTACTATATGTTTGACATGAGATCTATGCAATCATATGCTTATTCTTTTATTCGTATCATATACATCCGTCCCGGAGTATCGAATTGTACTTATCAAGTACACATTTAATGGTCATATCATTTTCCTTTCTTTCTATATTGCCTCAAAGGCTATATTTGCTCCAAGAGCCACATATTGGTACTCCGCCATCAACAATCACAAGTTATACATTTTATATATCTCAATAGAATAGAATAACATGAATCATATATATGATTTATTTTGATTTAAGCATGAAGATAAAATGATGCACATGATTTAAGGAGCTTTATCCAAATAACATATGATTTAAACCATTGAGGACTAAAGGAACATGTGAACATGGCATATAGACATATGAACATAAAATTTCTATCTCGTATGCTAACTTGAATATAACAACGATATAAGGAATTATATACATAAGAAAAATGAACATGTTCTCTAGAATGTAGGGTCACTTACCTTGAGGTTTCTTCGCTCAACTTCTCTTCGCACAATTTCCTATTAACCGTCTTCTTCTAAGGTTCAATACCTAAAGCAAAAGGTACAAAAAAAAATATCAATAACCACTTCTCTTAGTTTTTATAGAAATCTAAAAATCCATATACCACTATAGCTACACCCTATACTTCTCTTAGTTACATCCTATACATTCTCTTAGTTACATCCTATACATTCTCTTAGTTAATGATCATAATTACTTATCCTCTTTAATCCTCTTAGGCCCATTCTTTTAGTTAAAGCATAACCCACTATCCCTACACCTAAAGCATGCTTAGTATCACACTTTATTACTTCTTCATGAACCACAATTTAAACATTCATTTTCTTTAAGAAAAAAATTGAAATTTTAATATAACATTTTCGGATTTAATTAAAACCTAAATTATGAGGACCTAAAATTTCATTCATTTCATTCCAAACGCTTATAATTTACTCCCCTACCCTATACATATAATTAAGACATTATTATTTTTGGAATTAAATCATAAAATAATTAAGAAAATTATTTTTTTCTCAAAATTTCAATTTCTATTATTTAGAGACATCTCTCAATCATTAGGAATAGCTTTAGTGAACATGCAACCCTAGAATCCCTAAGTTAGGAAAAACCCTAAGCTTTCCCAAAATTTTAAAATTAAAATTGCTTAAGAAAACTTTGCATTTCTTAATCCAAACCCTTCCCTCACATTCTTCTAACAATCCCTACAAAATAAAACATAAAAAGAGAAACCATAATTTCAGATTTTAGGTTATCCTTTAAGAAATCTTCATATTTAGGGCATAAAACAATATATCTAAGTAAGCCCTAAGGGTTTTCTAAAGAAATCCCTAAGTTAATCAAACCCTAAAATTTCTTACTTCAATAAAACTCAAGAAAGTTTCATTTTTCTTGCATGAGAAGCTTACATTTATCTTCCCTAGCCTTTTTCCTTTGTTTTCCCCCTAATTACGTCGCCGGAGAGCCGCTGATTGAGCCCTCCCGTCGCCTCCTTCCTCTTCCGCCCGCTCCTCTCTCACGGCCGAAAAAAAAACACACAAGGGACCAAAATATTTCGGTCCCTAAACGTTGTTTTGACTTAAGAGGGAGAGGGATATCCAAATGACGCATGTACCCCTCTTCCCATTAATTCTCTTTTATTTCATTAAGGACAAAAATGGAAGATTTGGTCAAATAGTACTTAAATGAACTTCGACGAATTTTCATTTTAAACCCGTGCAAAATTGGATATAAGTTCTTAATACGGTTTCGATCAAAATTTTGTGACGAATTTAATAAAATTTATTTCGTTGAATTCCGACGACATCAAAATTTCACTTAAGTTCATTGCGGCGCATTGATATGCGTGCGACGCACTCAAATGATGAATTCTGGGTTTTACAGTTATCCAGGATGGAGCGAGAAACTGGCTGACAACTGCTTAGTGGCTTTTCTGCGGGAAACTGGCTGACAACTCACAATGCCCATGGGATTGTAATGTGGAAGAAAATCTTGATCATTGTACTACTCAATGTGCTAAATTGAAGCAGGTGATCGTTGTTTTGGCAAAATGGGGCTTTGTGTTGCCCAGTGTGAACTCCATTGAACTGATTACTGTGCTCTCTATATGTGCTGAGAAGAATCCTGTTTTGGGTCATATTTTTCATTATATGGTGTATCAGGTGTGGAGAGCTAGAAACGATATGAAGCACCAGCGTAGGTGTAGATCTCCGGCTGTGATAGCTGCTGCGGTGCTTTCTTTTTGACCGAAGCCGTTTAAATGGCCAATACTGGAGCAATGGGGTAACAATCTGCCTATTGGGTTGCTTTCTCATAAACTGTGGTACCCCCCCCCCCCCCCCCCCCCCCCCCCCCCCCCCCCCCCAGGTTGGCTAAAATTTAATGTAGATGCCTCCTTAATGCCATCTAATCAGGTGGGGTTGGGGCTGGTAGGAGGATGGAGCATTGGAATGTTTTACAAGCTGAAGCCATGGCTGCTGCTGCTATCCGTGAAGTGTTGCTGGACTAGATGTTTGAGCTTGAGGGGATTATTATAGAAGGGGATAGTATAAATGCTATTCGATGGCTGTAAAACTTGAATGATCGCCAGAATAAAGTCCATTCCAAAGTGGATGGTCCAGATCTCTCCTTCCTAATGGAGTTTAAACAGGTTCTTTTTTGTTATATTC